GGTTATTCTTCTTCCTGCTTTGGGTGGCAGACACATTCGGGGGAAGTCTGACGTGTATTCAACCTCACTAAAATACCCATGAGGTAAGTATTACCATTGTTCCCATTTTCCAGATAAGGTGACTGAGGCACAGGGGTGGGGGGGGTTGGAGGCACTTCATTTCTAACAGCATGACCTTGGTCAGGTCATTTAACTTCCCTGTGCCTTTGTTTCCTCCCCTTAAATAGGACTACTGCTGCCTGCTTCCTTGGGTGTCTGAGAGGATTAAGGACACAAGGCGTGTGAAGGGCCAGAGTCGGGGGAGGGGTACGTGGGTGCTGAGGACATGATGCTTATCTTGCATGTATTTGCCTGGAAACCTCCCAAGGTTGGTTTTCATAGGGAAGGCAACCTGGATTTGGATTTCTGGGTCTTGATTCTCCAGAACAAGAAGAGCAGAGACCTAGTTACCTTTGGTGTGCAGGTGAAGAGTTACCAGGAAGGTGAAGGGATATCTCATGTCCATCAAGGGATGGATGGATAAAGAAAATGTGGTACATGCAAACAGTGGAATATTATTCAGCCTTGAAAAAAAAAGAAGGAAATTGTGCCATATGCAACAGCATGAATAGACCTGGAAGACCGTGTGCAAGATGAAATAAGCGAGTCATAGAAAAGCAAATACCGCATGAGCCCACTTCTGTGAGACAGCTAAATTGGTCCCACTCGGAGACTCTGTAAAACGGTGGTTGTCAGGGGCTGAGGGAGGAGGAAGTAGAGAATTGCTAATCAAGCAGCATAAAGTCTCAATGATACAAGATGAATACATTCTAGAGATGTTCTGTACAACGTCACACCTGCAAGGTAGCAATACAGCATCGTGCACCCAAAAATTTGTTAGGAGGGTAGGTCTCATGTTAAGCGTTCTTACCGCAATAAAATAAAATTTACCAAAGAAAGAACAGGGGCATCTGGGTGGCTCCGTCGTTTGAACGTCTGCCTTCAGCTCAGGTCATGATCTCAGGGTCCTGGGATCGAGCCCTGCATCGGCCTCCCTGCTCAGCGGGGAGTCAGCTTCTTCCTCTCCCTCTGCTCCTCTCCCCTGCTTGTGCGCACTTTCTCAAAGAAATAAAGAAAACAGAGTGGGGACACGCTGAGGGAGAATTCATCAACTACTCTAGGAAACAGAGTTGACTCAGTGAGCCAGGGGGTTCTGGGCCTCTGAAAGATGTGTGGTTCTTGCTGACTGTGCCCCTCACTGACTTTTCTGGAAGCTGTCTAATATCTGTGAACTCTTCATTCCAGAAGACAAATCTTTCCCTTCCCTCTTACACTCGAATCTTTTGATTTCCCTTGGCAGCTGTGGAGCGTCTGGGGCCGGGCGGAAGGCCACGGGGCCACACTGAGCTAATCATCCCCATTGTGGGGGCCTCTCTGAGTAGACGACGCATATTCATCAAGAGTTATATTAGAATTGATGGTGCCGCCTGGTCCTGATATCACAGATTAACCAGAGGAATCGGCCGCTCTCTGATGGTCAGATTAGCGTCATTGATTGCCGTGTTTCCTGTGTCTGGTTTTGCTTGGAGATGTTCTGCCAGAAAGTGGTAGAGAACGTGAGCTTTTGAAATTGGCGGTTTAGGGAGGTTTTCTGCTCAGGCCCAGATTTGCGATCCTCCGTTAATGAGGAGAGAGAGCAACCCAAGAATAATACTTGGGCTGTGTCTGATGAGAGAGGATGCAGATGACTGCAAGGACAGAGACTCCTCCTCTTACTCTGTGCCTTCATGTTAACTCCTAGTTAGGGATGGAATTTAAATTCATATTTTTGGTCATTGGTACTCATCCAGCTGATTCTGTGTCAGAAGCCAAAAAACAAAGCAAAACCCAAAAACACCATCCAAAAATTGGCTCCTGTGTCTGAGGACAGCCAGGAGGAAGAAAGGCGATCAGGTGGGCTCCTGTATCAGTCAGGATGAGCTAGACTGTGCTGCAGTAACAGAGATCCCCACATGTCCGTGATGGAAAGCGTAAGAGGTTTATTTCTGCCCCTCGGGAGTTGGTCTCCGCTCTGCGCTAGCCTCACTCAGGGATGCAGGACCTTGAGCGTCGGGAGTGTGGTTGGATGCTATGGAGGAAAGGGCGATGCGGCAAACTGTGCCTTGGTTCTGATCACTGGTCTTGGCTGCAGCAAGTTGCTTGGCTGTGCCTAATTTGTGGGGTATGGGAAATACAGCCCTGTCGTGTGCCTAGATGAAAAAGAACTAGAATATTTGTCAAGAGCCTTATGGAAAACCGGCTCCCCCCCCATATCCACTTCCATCTCAACCTAGGCTAATATGAGCAAAGAGGGAGATACCCCTCGCACCCCCTCCCCCAGTGGAGAAGGGATCACTAAATGCTCCTCAGTTTACCTCTCAGCCAAATAGAAGAGGCAGTTTTAGAATCAGGTACAAGTTCACCATGTCCCCCCAGATGACTTGGGGCAAGTTCCCAAACATCCTCGAGCTTTCCCCGCCTCTTTTGTGGGTGGGAGAATAGTAGGAGCTGCCTTGCAAGTTATTTTTGAAGCATGAAGGAGATAGCACATGCCAGGGCTTAGTTTGGTCCCTGGCATCTGATGTGTGCTCAGGAATGTTAGAGCGACAAGCCTGGGCTTCCCTTTCTGTTAAAGGGCAAGGAGAATACCTCCTTATGGGGTGATTGTATCCAGCGAGTGATACCTGGGGGTCACTTCGTATACGGTGCCTGGCTGGTGGCTAGTGCCCAGAAAAATGCAGCTGAGAAGCTGCTTAGGATTCTTTAAGGGCCTCTGGACAGAAAGAAGGGGAAAGGTGAACATCGTGGGGGGGGGGGTCAGTTAGGTGACAGGAGCAGGAACAGCAGGGGTGATTTTTTTGCCAGATGTGTGGGGAGGTAAGAAAGCCTGGAACCAGGTGTCAGAACTGACAGTTTCCCCCTCACAGACCAGGTTATGTAATATCTGCCCTGTGTGTCACCAGCCGCTGTGCTGTGTGTGACCCAGTACTGACTCCCCTCTCCCTTCTTAGTAGCTTTCCTCCTCTCTACGCCACTACCTCCTAGCTCCCACCGCCTAGAGCCCTTGGTGCCTTGTGGCCCTACTTACTGTCCCGCTTTCTGTGACTCCTTGCCACCTGATGGGCCACTGGCCAGACTTGAGACATGGAGGTGACGTGGCTCTTCCAGATCCACGTAGCTGGGCTGGAGTGGTTGGGAAGGGAGCCAGATCTGGTGGTACAAAGCCAGGTGGTGGTGCTTACGGGGACAGAGGGATGGGGGTCAGAGGGGCTCTGTAGCTTCTTGGAAGTGGGTAGCGGCCCTGGTCACCCAGGCTGTGGGTGTGCAGCCCCATCCCAGCTTCACCGCCAACCAGCTGAGCTACCTCGGGCAAGTCGTGAAGAGTCCGTTCCCTCGCGTGCAAAATGAGCACGAGAGCGATGTCCAACTTACAGAGTGGCCGTGAGGAATTTTAAGAGTCAGTTTTCCCTTCTTAAGGCCTCTCTGTGTAGGAGAAGAGGGTGCTCAGTGCTCGAGAGATGGAGCAAGGGCGAGAAGGAGGCAGCCCATCAATGTGGTTTCTTCTCCAGGCCATCATGGGGCCAAATGGGGACCCTGGGAACACGGGCAACTAAACCAAGCCCAGGGGGTAGGAACCGAGAAACTCCTACTCCTCAAGAGCTGGTGTCGGCACACTTTTTCTTAAAGGGGTAAACAGAACTCTTTAGGCAGGCCAGGTGGAGAATATTGCCATGTTCATTCCTGCTATCATAGTGGGAAGGTAGCCACAGACAGCACATAAACAAACAGGTGCAGCTGTTTTTCAATAAAACTTTATTTACAAAAGCAGATGATGCACAGGATTTGGGCCACGGGGGCCACCGCTGGCCAAGCTGCTAGAGTCCGAGCCCTGGGGCGTGCCGGCTGCCCTGTCTGCCCGTCTCTGCTGTTCCGTCCTCTCCCCTGGGCACTGTTTCAGGCACATTTAAGACAACCAAAGGGGTGATCTTCCCTCAAATTGCTACTCATGGCCCTTGTGTTTCTGTAGCAACGAGGGTAGATTTATGGAGCCAGTTAGCGTTCTCTGTGGCTTTAGAGGTCCCCTCTGGGGCTAGCTTTGGAACAGTGGATACTCTTTCAGGTCAAGGCGTTGGTAATGGGCTCTAAGCAGCAACAACATGCTTTGGAAACAATGCAGGGTATTAGTTGAACGGTACATTTGCTCTGAGCTCAAAACGGCCAGGGCCTACCTATGCATGGAAAAGCTGAGTTGGGGCCACCTGCCTTCCTGGAAAGATCCATACCAGGCATTGTCTCCAGAATGACTCTTGGCCTTTCCCTTGACCCCACCCCCCACCCCCGGGTGACTTAATCCGTTCTGCTCCAGGTACAAACATCGGGAGTCAAAGGACAAACACAGGAGTGTCACAAGCTTGCATCCCCCCGGGATTCATTGTAAAGATCATAATATAAAGGATGCATTCCCCTCCAAAATAGCCCGGATGTCTCTCCCTCCATCCGATTTCTCTTACGGGCATAGATCTGTGAGCATGTCCTAAAGGCAGTGGAATGTATGTCATATCCCACTGAATATTTTCTTCCCTTATAATTTTCTTACGGCGTTTCCAGCCCTCAAATAAACCACCACAGCACTCTCTGCTAGAATTTAAACAGGAAACTGCAACAAAATGTCCATAATCCAGTGGCAGGGACAAGGAAACTTACTGAAAAGGAAGGTGTTGTTAGTAACAAAGCATGGAGAATCACAGAGCCCTTGAGAGTTTTCAAAGCCTTAATCTCTGGTTGGAACATCTCATATTTCCAGATGAGGAAATTGAGGTCCAGAGAGAAAACGCTACTTTGAAGTTAAACTGGTAGCAAAGGTATGGCGTGAAACCGGGACACACACCTCCAGACCTCTGTGCCCACTCTGCAAGGGCCAACCTACTTAGCATGACCACTCAGTGATGTTTCTCTTCTGTGTTCCTTCCCATTTTCTCCAGGATGGCTACTTTTCTCACCGGCCGAAAGAGAAAGTGCGAACGGACAGCAACAATGAGAACTCAGTCCCCAAAGACTTTGAGAATGTGGACAACAGCAACTTCGCACCCAGGACTCAAAAGCAAAAGCACCAGCCTGAGTTGGCAAAGAAGGCCCCGAGTAGACAGAAAGAGCTTTTGAAAAGGAAGCTGGAGCAGGAGGAGAAGGGGAAGGGACATTCGTTCGCAGGCAAAGGCACCACCGAGGCGCTGCCTCCCGGGGAGAAAGCTGCGGTGAACAGTAGCCGTGGGAGGGATGCCCCAAGACAGCCCCATACCAGGAAAAGTGGGGGCGGCTCCCCCGAGCTCAAGTACGACCAGCCCCCCAAGTGTGACATCTCAGGCAAAGAGGCCATCTCCGCCCTGTCCCGCTCCAAGTCCAAACACTGCCGCCAGGAGATCGGGGAGACCTACTGTCGCCACAAGCTCGGACTGCTGATGCCCAAGAAGGTGACTCGATTCTGCCCCCTGGAAGGTGAGTCCCAGCCCGGGTCCAGTTCTTCCTCCTGCCCAGTCCCATTCTGCTCCCATTGTCAACCTTCCGAGAATGACCGCCCTATTTTTCCAACTCCCTCTCCCCCGATCAATGCACAAGATTTTTTTTCCTCTGGTACTGTCTGAATTCTGAAGTTGTGTGTAAGAAAACCTTTGCAAAATCAAATGGCCTTTTGTTCCAGCTTTAACCAGTTGCCTCGATGGCAACGGAAAAAATACATGAAATCGGGGCTGGTGTGGAATCCAAGGTGATTGTATCAGGAGGGTTCGTTTTTGCACAGGTGAGGTATTCCTCGTGTATCTCTGCGTCTGACGTCATGCTGTTGACCGGATTGTGTGCCTTTCTTGGTGGTGTGTTTTGTCAGACAGTTGTCAGGCGCTCGCTCCTCGTCAGGCACTGCACATTCAATCAGCTCATCTCATCCACCGCCCTGTGATGTTGGCCCTGTCGTCGTGAGCCTAAACTTTTTTTTTTTTCTTCAGATTTTGAGGATTTGGGTCAGGTAGGGAGTGGCCGTGTGCGTGTAAGTGCTGTGGGAGGATGCACAGCAAGCCCGTCACATGTTCCCCGTTGCGCGGGGTGCAGGCAACTTCAGCTTTTTACTCGCTGTTCATCTGTAGTTTTTGAGTTTGTGGGGGTGAACGTGTCTCTCTTTTAAATGGAAAGATGTAAAAAGGAAGGGTTCGTTTCTCCCTTGCATTTCAACCCTAGGCCAAGCTCTCCGTGGGGTTCGCATTTATATTCTTGATGGGACTTGGCTGTTGGAGTAGAGGAGTAAGTGAGTGGAGGAAGAAGTTCCCAGAATCTTTTGTTAACCAGCACCTGGCTTGGCAGAGGAGTGTCGGAGGCCTGAGTTGAATGCCCTTCCATGAAAGTAATATTGGGCACTCATACTATACCAGGAGTCAACACGCTTTTTCTTCAAAGGACCAGAGAACAAATATTTGAGGCTTTGTGGGCCATCAAAAGGAGCCATGCACAATACATACACCGTGCACTTAGTTAAGTTCCAATAAAACTCGCTTGACTAAAGCAGGCGGTGGGCAGGATTTGGCCTGTGGGCCCTAGGTTGCTCACCCCTGCCAGATACCAATCCTGTGTAGCAATAAATACAACACAGTGTGCACCTTATAGCACATCGAATTCTCACACCAGCCCTAGGAGGTAGGTCTTTTATCAACCCATTACGTCAACGAGGATGTTGAGGCTGAGAGGTTTAGTACTTGGTTTGAGGTTCATGGCTAGCAGACAGAAGAGCTGATCTACCCGAGGGCCTGCATCCCTCCTCATGGCCTTCCCCTGCTCAGGAGGCAGGTTTCCCTTGAGCGCCACCAGTCAGACCTCAAGGAGATCCTGCAGCCTGTAGGCTGTATTTCTCCATCCTCAGTATCATTGCAAGGGGAGGGGAGGGGGCGTGATGGGGAAACAAAAGGGCTGGTGTCACCCATGGAGGTCAGGGGCTCCCACGTTCCTCCTGGTCATGCTGAGACACCGCCCCCCCCCCCCCCAGCGTGGTCGTGCAACATGAGTGTGCCTGGCCTTTCCCCGTAGACTCGCCTGTGTCAGCCAAGATGGCACACCCTCCCGGGACCTCTGAGCTGGTTAATCAGATTGGCATTTAAGAGCCATTGCACACCCAGCCCAGCGCTGCCTTAATTTGCTGCACGACAGCCTCCCCTTTTGCAATAAATTTACTGTGAATAGACTAATTGCAAAATAACCCTAATTGGGTAGTTATCAATGAACAACTTCCCGTGGAACAAAACGGCTTACAATTAATAGCATTTAAGCCATAAACTATTCTTCTGCAGAAAGCTAAGATGTAATTACACCCCATACGGAGATTGTATTCCCTTTCTGGAAACCATGACACCCGGATTTCCCTCCGCTTAGGAGGGATTTGAGCTTCAGCCCCGTGGTCCTTTCCTTTCCCGCTAAATGAGGCGATGGAGGTGGGAGGGGAGGGAGGTGTAACGTGTGTGTAAATATACACATGTGCACGCACCCAGATGCACGCGCTGGCTTTGTCATCGTGCCGAACTCCACGTCACCCGAACTTCAGCCAGCATGATGCCGGAAGCTGGATCTAATTAGGGGAACCGTTCCCCACGGCGGGCGGGCTGAACCATCCAGAGGGAAGGAAATAGAATTTGAGTGTTGACTTTCGTAAAGGGCTCCTGCTCTTCGCGCTCACACCCATCCTTCCCCGCCCCCCTCAGCTGAGCACCACTCAAGGAAAAGGAAGAGTCTAGAACCACAGGAACCAGCTTGCTCCCTATAGAGATGTTCCCTGCTTTTGCGACTTGCCTACTTCACTCCACCTCCTGGAGAAAGCAGCTGGAAGGGTGACACATTTTCCCAAGGAAAGGAGTGTACCCCCCACTGACAGCCACCAAGAGTGAGGCACATGGAGGGCATGGGGTGCTCTACCCCATCAGCTCCCAAGCCTGGCCTCTGAGAGGCTTATTCCTAATCCCCCTGTGGCCTGTTACTCCTCATAGGGCCCCTGTGCTCCCTGCAGCCAGACCACCCCCCTTCCTCACCCAGGCAGCCCCGCCCCCACCCCACCCCCCACAATTGCCTGGGCCTCCTGTCCCTTCCTTGGGCTCCACGGTCAGACCTTCCGTCACGTCAGCTGGACCTCCTAGTGTTTCACGGAGATAAAACCTTGTCAGATGGAAGACCAAGGCTGGAAAATCTGGGCTGGAAAAAAGAGGTTTTCTCCAAACACTGGGTTTTGAATCCTGGTTGTGACTTTACTAGGTGCGTGACCCTAACTTCCTAGTGCCTCAAGTGCCTCATCTGTGAAATGGACACAGATTCTCCTACCTTTTCTCCTTGGATTGCTGGCCGTGGTGTGGGCAGGAGTATCAAATGCTTGGTGCAGAGGGGAGGTAGAATGCAGCAGATGTTTGGCTCTTGGCAGTGGTAGTGGTATAAAGCAAGGGGGCATTGAGAAGAGGAGCGAATGGAAGTCCTCCTCGATGGTGACTTCCCGCTGCCCGGCTGCATCTCTCTCACTCCGTTCTTCAGACGTGACCCCCACCTGGCTCAGGCATTCTCTCACGCTCTTTCTAGCACCTCCGCTGTTGCCTGTACCCCGCCCCCGCCACTGCACCCCACCTTGTCTGGCCACCACCTCTCCCCACTCCAGATCTCAGCCCTAAATGCCACCTCCTTGGGGAAGCCTTCCTGGACCACGTCTCCCCCAAGAAGCCCTGGCCGCAGGGATCACGCTGACCCCAGCGAAGGGCAGAGGTAGCTTTCCTGATGAATGCCTTCCTTGCTTGATAAAGACCGTTCGGCCTGTAACAGGCATTCTCGTGCCAGGTGCTAGTAATGCAACTTTTAATGCCTCGTTGCAATGGGAACAATTAAATGTCAGGAAGCTCCGTCTAGCCTCCCTAAATCTTGAGTGAAAATGCCCCGAGAAAGGCCCCCCTGGTGCCCCCCATCCCTCCTGCAGTTCACCTTCTGCTGTGTTAGGTGGGGCCCGTGGACTCATGCTTCCAGTGGCCCGCGCGTCTGCAGCCTGCCTTTTTAGGTGGAGGACGAGCGGGGGGCAAATGTGCAACGTTCCGGGGAAAGCGGTCGGCTGGGAGGTGGGACGGGCTGCCGCCTGGCCAGGAACTCGGGCCTGAGCAACCGGGGGACATGGCGGGTCTCTGATGGGTGACAGGCACGGGGCTAGTTCCGCTGAGTCCTCCAACCAGCTGCAGGGCTGCAAGCCTTTGCACGTGACTGGGGAAGCCGGCTCAAGTATAGGGCTGAAGATGGACAGACTGGGGGTTTCTGATAGAAAGGCAACCGTTCCTGGATGTGACAATGGTCGTTACCCATCAGCCGTTGCAGGAGGCCAGAGGTTCTGGACACGTGGGCTTCTGGACGGAGGTAGCTGGCTGCCCGCTCCAGAGAAAGTGACAGATGGCACTGCCGGCTGCAGAAGGGCTGTCTCCCGTCCATCTCTGCGCCCTGGGGGCGGTGTGGTGACTCCGCAGCACGAGTAGCTGGCTTCTAGAAAGCATGGCTGGCAGCCTGGCATGGAGGGACCGTGCAGGCGTGGATGGTAGCTCGGCCAGTCCGAGTGCCCTGGGGTGCATGCCTCAGTTTCCCCACCTGTCAGCCAGAGACCCTGACTCCTCCCAGGCTTTCTGCTGATGAGGAAATGAGGGAGCAGCCGTGGAAAGCTAAAAAGCACCACAGTAATGGGGGCGGTGTGGCAAAGCCAAATTGATCCAGGCGCAGCTTGGCTAAGTGGCCGGGGCTGACTCACTTTCCAAAAGGCCAGGTTTGCAGAGGACCCAGTCAGACCCTTCCTGCTGATCAAGGCACAGAGGCCAGTAGTGGGGAGGGATTTCAGCACTGGCTCGCTGGGATTGGGCAAACCTGGTCCCAAACGTGTTTCTTGGACTTCTCAGGGAGGGGAAAGGGACTGACCCCACTCACTGGCCACCCCCTAGGCAGTGTCCAAATCCAGGGCTCCGCACATGTTTTCTGTAAACGGCCAGAGAGTAAATAGGCGGCTTTGCAGACCATGTGGTCTCTGTCAAAACTCCCTGATGCTGCCTGAAAGCGTCAATATATAAATAAATGACCAGCAAGGCAGTGTTCCAATACAGCCTTGTTTAGGGTCACCAAAATGTGAATTTCACATAATTCTCACGTGTCTTAAAGTGTTACTCTTTTGATTTTCTTCCAGCTGTTTAAAAATGTAAAAACTCTTCTTAGCTTGAAGGCCACACCAAAATAGGCAGCCAGGGGCTGGAGTTGGCTGACCGTTGTTCTAGGACGATATAGCAGTGTGCGAACGCGGAGAACGTCTTGTTCAGGTGCACAGCTCGGGGCACCAAGTCCCTTGACATAAGATGGACGGTGATTCTGGGAGGCGTGCAGCGGGATGGCTCTAGCTTCATGGAGCTTCTGCCCCAGTACGAGAGGCCAGAGATGACAAGTGAGCCAGTAGATCTAGAGCCCCCTGT